GTGCCCGGCTCCCCCAGGGCTACCACCCCCCGCAGCGGGAGGAGGGGCAAGGCCGGCCGGAGGGCAGACCCTGGGGAACTGAGCTGAGGGACGGGGACCACCCCTCATAGGGAAACTGAGGACAGGGGGTCTTGCAGCAAGGACTCCTGACCCCTACCTGCACCCACACCCCCAAAGGGGAGGACAGCAGTCGGCGCCCTCACCTGTGAGCACCCCAGCAGTCAGGTATAGCTCCAGGAGGCGCGTGGCGAAGGATGCTAGGACCATGCCCGCAGAGGCCAACAGCCCACCCACTAGCATCACCGGGCGACAGCCAAAGCGGGTAACAAGGATGCTGGACACTGGGCCTGTGGGCAGGGCAAGGTTACCACTTGCACTGGACCAATCTCCTGTCTAGTAGACACTCCAGGCGTTGTACCTCCCAGCCTTGAAAGTCCGCTCAAAGGGTAAGGTTACCCCAGTTCAGAGAAGGCAGTGTCTGGCCAAGGTCATGTAGCTTGGCTGGGACAGACCAAAGACAGCGCCCTATAGGGACACAGTGGAGGGACCTGTTCTGGTCCCCAGCCCTCCTGAGAACAGAGAACCCAAAGCAGAAGGGGCCGACCCCATTCCCTTTGTATCTCCACAGCTGGCAGCGCAGCTTGAGCTGCCTGCCTTCCTGGGGTTCCCCCACCCCTCACCTCCACTCCTCCAGGCTTGGCCAGGATAACTCCAGCATCTCCCCCACCCAGCAGGTGGTTAGGGCTTCCCGGGGTGGGAATCTTATTTAGACCTCAGTTACCCCACCTGTAACATTGGCCAATGTGGGTCTTTTGACATCAGTGGAGGGGCCTTCTGGCTGGCCAAGCTTGCCAGGGCAGCCACCTTGGTGCAGACTCCACCTCTGGCCGTTGTCCCCCTCCTGCCCTCTCCTTCCCTCTCTGGTGCCACCGTTTCCCCAGGAAGGAAGGGGTTTCCAGTGCCCAACGCTAGAGGCCTGATGGATGCTCAAGGGGTCAGGTGTTTCCAGGTACTTGATCCTGACCCTCAATCCTGTGCCTGGGGAAAGGCTGAGGGATCCGCGAGGGGGCGCTGACCGGTGCCGTAGAGCATGGCGAGCATGATGGAGGACACCCAGGCTGTGTCGCTGTAGCCCGCGCCGAAGTCGCGCATAAGCGCGCGGAAGAAGACGCTCACGGCCTTGGGGAAGCCATAGGCGAAACCGGTGACCACGAAGCAGGCGCCTAGCACCACCCAGCCCCAGCCGCCGTCAGGGGGGCCGGGGCTCCGCCGGGGGCCACTAACGCCCATCGCCGCTGCCTCTGCTGGAGGAGAGGGGACAAGAAGGAGCAGCGAGGATCTGTAGCCAAGACAAGAAAGGGGGATGGAGACCCAGGATGGGGAAACTGAGGCATGGGGCTACCAGCGTGAGCTCTGTTAAGGGAGTGGAGGCAGAAGAGGAAACCCAGGTAGGATTTTGGGTGAGCCCAAAATCTCCCGTCCTCCAAGGGGTGTGAAGGATGAGGGGAGGATAATAGAATCGTTCCCACCTTGACTTCAGGGAGACTCCCTCTGGAGGACACGCCTTGCCCCTCAGGATCTAGTAGTGGCAGAAGAGGGGGGTCAAGTGAGGGGGAGAGCCGGGCAGCCAGTGTGTGACTAGAGGCGTATGTGGGACCACCAGTGTCCCCACTGTGCATGTGTGAGGGTCTCAGGACAGAAGAAGGAACATCGTGTGGGGTTGGGGGGAGGAGACAAGTGCCAGCTACAAAATGGATAGAGTTCATTCTCCTCCTTGACCTTGGGATATGTTCCTAATTTTTCTCAGTGATCAGGAGTGACTATGGTCGCTTAGGACATTATGGAGGAAAAACTAAAACACATTGTAACAATATTAGCCTTGTCTCAGAAGCCAAGGGAGCTGAGTTCCAATTCACCCCTGCTTAGCCGTGGCTTTGCTCTGTGACTTGAGCAGTTCCCCTCCCTTTGCTAAAGCCTTAGTTTTTCTACCTGTAAGATGGGATCACGCTGGCCAGGCAGGAATCTTGGCGGGGGGTGGTCAGATCTCTAGCTTCACTGGATAGATGAGAACCTTTGAGTGGGGCCACTGGGAGGGAGACCCTTCAAACCCCTAGCAATCCACCAACCCCTCCACACTCCCAGAGCTCCACCCAGGGGTTCACATAGCAGCCCCATGTACCCCCGTAACAGACCAGGAGGGGGGCCTCACAGGCAGGATGGACCATCCCACAGCTGGGGCAGGAGCCTCCCTCCCTCCCTCCTGCAGCCCCTGTCCGCTGGGGTCTCCCTCCTGGCATTAGGCAATGCCAAGAGCCCCGTGGGTATATGAGACTTTGCCCCTTCCCCAGGACCAGGTTCTCGCTGTTCCTCACCTCACCACAGCTGCAGCCACTTGAGGGCCAGGACAAGAGGTGGTCCCTGGCAACCCTGGCCCCACACTTACCTGAGCCGTCCTGTGGGTTTGGATGTCCAGCCTCACATCTCCTGAGGCCTGCAGGTAAGGGCTGCCCAATGGGCTCCCCCGGGAAAGCCTAGCCTGATGGGGGCCACTGCTGAAGACTCCCCGGCTTGCCTGCAGATCAGACGCTGGCCGTCTCTTGCCGACAGCTCGCTCCCCCAGGCCTGGGGCTTAGTGTTCCCCCACCCCCATCGCCTCTAAGAGGCTTTTGCTTGGGAGGGGAGAAGGGACAGGGCCAGGCTGGGCCCCATGGTGGGGTTCGTTGTCCCAGGCCTGTCCAGGGAGAGCCAAAGATGGGGGTAGGGGAAGGGAATCCCATCATCTCCTGGAGCCTCAGGCAGAGGACACACAGAGCCCTGCCTTGGGGGGTCCTAGTGGTACAAGGGGCACAGCCCTGCCCTGGAGAGACCCCACCAGCCCTAATCACCTCAACTCCTCGCCTGCCCCCCATCCCCAGGCCGCATTCCAGGAGGGGCCTGTGATTTCCCCAGGATAAGGCTAATCCAGCCCGGAGAGCCTGGGACTGAGGGGGCGGGGAGGGGCCAGAACAAAGGGTGCTGTGTCCCAGGGTGCTAGAGGGTGACTTGCTGGTGGTCCCGGACTTCAGCCACTGCCACCTCTCCCCCTCTGGAGAAGAGGCCACTATTTCCTGGGGAACCCACAGCAGAAATGAGCCTGGGCCAGAGATGGGGGATCCAGTTTGCAGGAGTTAGGGCAGACCTAAAGACTTGCTTAAAATGAGGGATGTAGGGGGCTGGGAGTGGGTGAGGCGTCCCAGGGAACCGCCAATGACTTTCAGGACATCCTGGATTCCTTTCTCTGGTGGGAGGTCTCCATCCCCAACCTGTCCCACCCTATCCCTCAAATCAGACTCCACCAATCCCACTGCCATGTCTCACTTGCTTTATTTTTCGCCGTTTACAAAAGTTAAACAGGGGACGGGGTGCAGGGCAGGGGAGAGGGTGTGCAAAGGGCTCCTCCCCACTGGGACAGAGAAGGGGGAAAGAAGTTGGGGGGCATGACATAGGCCTCCAGGGAGCGTCCGCGGCCCCCTGGAGGGGAATAATGGTTCTTCGTCTTCCAATTCCGCCTGCTTTATTTTGAAGGCCCAGACCCCAGGCCTTGGAACTGCTCAGGCTGGAGTGTGTTTCGGGGAAGAGCAGCCACCCCCCTGCCCCGTATCAGGGCCCGGCTTCTCGGATCCACTGCTGCTGCCTCTGCTGCCGCCAGCTCTGGGCAGCCCCTGGGCAGGTGTGTGGGGGGTGACCTCAGACCCCCGGTGAAGGAAGGTGCCTCAGCGGATGAGGGGTGCTGAGCGGTCATTGGTGACAGTGGGACGCAGCTTTACGGTGGCAAAGGGGTTCGTGCCCCTGTGGGAGGAGAGTTGGGGGTGAGAGGGCCCCAGGTCCCCAGCTGGCTGTGGGTCCAGGGAAGGCAGCTGGGCATTGGAGCCAGGTGTCCACCGCTACCTCCTGTCTCCATTGGGTCACCTCCACTCACGCTCACCTTGTCTCCTGCCACAGCCCTCCGCTGAGCCCAGCCCCCTTTGACCCCTACTTGAGGACTTACCGAGGGAAGAGCTCTGGGGGTTGCTGCTCCCAGGACGTAAGTTTCTGCAGTGAGTGGGGAGGGAAGGCCGGGTTTGGGGAGGAAGGAGCAAGCGAGCCCCAGCCCCTCCCTTTCCCCCTTCTGGAAGGGCAGAAGACTGGACCAGAGGCCCTGCTGTGCCAGGCTTCTGGAAAATGAGGTCCCAGTGTTCCGAAGCCCAGAATTCTGTGGGTTTCAGACCTGAGGAGCTTCTGGGCCAGAGTACCATCTCCCAGGGCTAACACTGCCCCCAGGGAGGTCTTTTCCGGTGCTCTCAGCCAGACTCCTGGGCTCTGCTTCTGAGAGAAGTGCTTTTCCCCCATCCTCCGCCCCAGACTCAGAAACCCACGCTGCCCCTCCCTGCATAGATGCGCAGACTGAGGTTGGGGTGGGAGGGTCCCCTGCCGGGCAGACTGAGGCTAGGGTGGGGAGGGTTACCTGGTCTCTGGTCTCCCAGCCCACTGCACCCCGCCAGGGTTGAGGATAGGCTGGGGGAGGGGACTCACCTTGACGTCACTGGCCACTGCCATGCTGCCCATGCTATTTCGGCGATTGCCAGGCAAGGGTGTAGGTGCAGGGCTGGGGGTGCGGCTCGGGACCCGGCTCGGGGTTCGGGGGTGGGATTGGCCATCCCAGTACTCTGAGGATGCTGTGGAGTTGCCCGGCCGGTCCAGGAGGTCATCTAGACTGTGGCTGCCCCGGAGTGGGTAGGACCTGAGTCCAGAGAAAGGTTGGGAGGGGAGAGGGTCAGGGGTCAGGCCCTCCTGCACCTGATCCCATCTGCTGGGCCCCTGAGCATCCTACAGACCCCTCCCCTGCCCCTGGGTGAAAAGAGATTGTTGGCTTAAAGGCAGCCCTGAGAGGAGGCAGAGGGATGGACATAATGACCTTTACATGTAGAGAGATGGGGGCACCCTTTCTCCAAGGGCTGAAGGGGCCTGGGCTCACTCAGGACTGCAGCTCACAGATGCCCTCCCTGGTGGCCCACCCAACCCCTGCCCACTGGAGTCCCCACCCCTGCCCCACCTCTGACCACAGCGGTACCTGGAAGGCAGCTCATTCATAGGGCTCATGGGATTCATGGAGGTCACCGGGTTCAAGGGGTTCATGGAGGTCACAGGGTTCAAGGGGTTCATGGAATTCATGGGCAGCTCCTCCAAAGGCTTCACATAGGCCTCAGGAAACCAGCCACTCCTGGGGGGTGGAAGCAGAGGGTCCCATAACCAAAGGGCCAACAACAGTGGTCAAAATAATACTTTTAAGAGGAGCAGACAATTACTGAGCACTGCTGTGCACCGGCCTGGCTCTAATGGCTTTGCCCAGAGAAACTCATTTCATCCCTTGAAGGAGGTCTTTCCTGACTTTCAAAGCTGCCTGTCCAGCCTCATGTCCCGTCAGGGGCTGGGGCACCTTAGAGAGGAGGGACTGGAGATCCAACAAGGAAAGCATTGTATCCAAGGACATGTGGTGACCAGCTTCATTCCCTACACACTGGGCACCCACCACACGAGGGCCCACAGAAAGCCAGACACAGTCCCTACTCTCCAGGGGCTCCCAGCCTGGTAGGGAGACAGACCCACAAGCAGATGATTGCAAGGGTGCAAGGGTGATGTGAAGGAGACGGGGTTGGGATGGGGGAACACAGGCAGCTGCTGGAGCCCAGGGGAAGGGGCACTGGAGCTGGGGTGCCTGGCTATGGACCAGTGCTCTTTCATCCCCAACCCAGCTGCTTCCCTCCACCCTAGGCCCTCTGGTTCCCATGACCCCAGGCACCCTGCTCTTGGAGTCTTTGGCTGGAGGCTCATCACTGCACCTTCAGAGCAGCCAGGGTTGAGAGAGAGGCACTAGGAACGATGTTCCTTAGGCTTTTCAGACTCTGAGGAACCCATCAGATTCTTGCAAAACACCTGGGAAAGTGTCCTCCAAAAAGCCACTTTAGATCCCCAAACCAAGTCAACAACTTTCTCACCTAAAAGTAACTGGAAGCTATTTCAACTCAAATTGACAAAACCAAAAACTTTTTACTTCTGTTTTCACTCTAAAGTGCCTACCAATGAAACCTGCCATCGTCTTCCCTAACCTGAGTCACAGAAAGGATAATGGTGTCCCAGGAATGTGGTTTGAGAGCACTGGTCTGGGTGCGTTTATAATCAGGTCCCCAGGAGGTTTGCTACACGCCTGTGTTGGGGACTTTCAGGGCGAACTCTGCTGCCCTCTTACGTGGGTCTGCAAAGCAGATGTTTCCACCACTCATATTCTTAGTCCTATCTCTCTACGCACCAGCCCATCCTTCCATTCCTGATCTATGTAGTCGCCTGCCATCCACCCATCTATCCACACAGCATCCCATCCATGCATCACCCATCCATGATCCACGTGGGCAACCACCCATGGACCACCAATCCATTAATCCATCCCTCAGCACTTGCCCACCTGCCCACCCCTCTATCAACACACTCACATACCTCTCCAATCCCCCACCAGTCTATTTATGCACACATACCCCACATCCATGCATCCTCCCATGTCCCCAGTCACCCAGTCCATCCCCACCTACCCATCCATCTATGCATCTGCTCACAGGTGCATGCACTCACCTGCCCACACCACCACCACACCCTCACCCGTTCTCACCTGTCCATCTACTAGCCCACACAACCACACTTGCAAGCACCCTCACATGCGCCTGCAACTCCATCTATGCTCCATTCATTCATCGCCTCTTCTTGTCCTCATTCATTCCTCTCTCCTTAGCATGAGCGGGTGTGGGTACCACGCAGTCTCTTGCTCATAAAGCCCTGCAAGCGGCGCTGCCTGGCTCCAGCAGGCTCCCACTTTCCCCTATTTCTTTGGCAGGAAGAGTGATCCCTGCTTTCCGCCAGGCTTACAGCGACTGCAGTGTACTTCCCCACCTCCCCTTCTACTCATGGTGTCAAAAGCAGCCAAAGTTTAGGTTCTTTAAGGATTTCCACTGCGCGTGACTGCAAGGAGGTAAGTGCACTCAGCCTGCAAGGTCCCAGCACCGCTCCTGCGCCTGGCCAACCTCCCTGTCTATTCTCTCTATCAGAACTTGGCTGACTCTCTCAGGGTACTGGGGAAGCTGCCTTCTCCCTCAGTGTAATATAATATGCACAGTAGGTGCTCAAGCAATAGGGTTACTGTAGTGTTCCCACTTGTGAGAGAACCTTCCCATTTTTCACCCTCTACCACCCTCTCAAGGGCCACCACCCTGAACTTGGTAAAGAGGCTCTTCCTACTCCCATTGAATGGATGAGGAAACTGGGGTGGGAGGAGGAAGGGGATGCGAATAGGGGAGAGTTGTCCGAGGCCCCTGGGACAGCCTCCATCCTGGAGAACTCAGTCAGAGCTGGAGCCCTGCTTCACGGTCCTCCTTCCCACCCACCCTGCGCCCCGAGGCTCTCACTCACGTGGATGAGCCCTGCAGCTTGCCATAGAGCCAGCCGTTCTGGGCCTCAGGCACCAGCACCTCCACGACATCTCCGGCTGAGAAGCGCAGCAGTGTGTGGTTGGCACCCTCCGAGTGGGAAACCAGGGCACGGACTCTCCGGGCGCCGCCGCCACCCCCGCCGCCTGGGCGCTCGCCGAAGGAGTTGGAGCGCGAGCGCTGGGTGCTGCTGCTGTTGAGCGAGGCTGCCGAGGGATGGGAGAGCGCCGCGGCGCGTGGGCGGGAAGTTCTCCCTCGCGTCTACCCTCGATCCCTCCTGCTGCAGCCGCAACCTCAGTTGCTCTTCCCGGCCCTCCCTCTGCACACCGGGGGCCGGGGGGCGGGTACTCACAGGCAGACGGCGTCCGGGGCAGGGACCGGCGGTCTGGCTCCAGCTGGGACGCGGGCCTCGCCTCGGTGGGCTCGGGGCCGTAGGAGCCGGAGCCATGCCGGCTGCGGGGGGGGCCGAACTCTCCCAGAGGCCTCTGGGGCTGCGAGGGGAGACGGGCAGGGGAGGGTGGGGCGGGGAGGGGCGGGGCCGCGGCGCCTTAGTCCAGCCCCCACCCCCAGTCCCAGGCGTCGGCGTAGGGGTTCTCCGGCCGGCGGCCGAGCCACCACGGGGGCGCCGAGGCCGCGCCACGGCGGAAGGGCCGCCCGAGGGGCGCAGCGTAGAATGGGACCCTCGGAGGGAGGAGGCTCCAGGCGGAGGGTCTCAGGCCCCAGGGCCCCACAGAAGGTGCCGGGGGTGGCCGGGGCGCGAACGGCGGCGGGGGCGCGAACGGCGGCGGGGGCACGAACGGCGGCGGGGGCGCCCAGGGCCTCACCATATCCAGGCGGGTGGGCGTCAAGCGGCCCGAGGGGTAGGGTGGCCCCAGCACCGGGCCCAGCAGGCCAGGGGAGTGGGCGCGCGACGGGCTGCGGCTGGCCTCCGACTGCTCTTTCCACAGCAGCACGCGGTTCTGGAGTATCCCCCGGGCCTGCCGGGTGGGGACATGGGTGGGGGTCAGCGAGATCTGAGCAGCCCCCAGAATCCTGGGGACTCAGAAGTGGCACCCTAGACCTGGGAACTCGGGCGCTGTAAGCTGAAGATGGCCAGGATTTCTAGCTGGAAGGAACCAAAGATCATTGTGGTCACTTGGGTTCACTCACTGTCCAGCCTTCCCCCTCTTTTGTCAGAGGTCCCTCAGTTTTCTTGTGGAGCTTCTCCTGCCCCCTCTCTCAGTCTGCATGCTTTGGTCGGGGCTCTCCCACTGCCTGATACAGGGGTAGGGGTACAATCCAGGCCTGGCCACTCTGGTTGCTCCACCCTCCTGGAGTTAGGGACGCACACCTACCCAAACACTGACCAAAGAACCCAATCCCAGTACTTACCCTGGAATAATCTGGAAAAATATATTCTTTCACCTCATGGGGTTTGCTAAATAGAATAAAGCCAACACAGGAAACTACAACTAAGCAACGGATAGTGGCAACTTTCTTATGAAATCTTGTGTGCTCCTGGATCCAGCTATGCCTGAAACCCTTGAACCTCCCAGTGACTAAAATAAAATACCTTTTCTGTTTAAGCTAGCTTGAGTAGTTTTCTAAAAGAAGTCTTTCAAATAGTTTTTCCAGTCTATTCTTTTAGTCTATGTAAGCACCCCTTTTCTAGTGTCTAATACATGGGCATTCTAACTGCTTCAGTACATTCAAGGACAGGAAACTTAGCAGCTGACCACATAGTCCATAACAGCTTTGGGTGGGAGGACTTTAAATGTTAGACCTGCTGTGTGTATTAATCATGTTTTTAATTTTCTGTGCTTTATGATGCTTTGGCCTCCTGGGGTCTTGCTAATTCTGAAAAGACTGCCCTCACAGGGCTAGATAATTTCCTAGAGATAGTAAGCAGTTTGCCTCTGAGCACACCTTTCGTAAGCAGATCAGTGGATCCAAAACCCATATCCCCAACCACCTCCATCTAACTTGAACACCAAGCCTGTATTTCCCCTACCCTAAATCACCCAAGCCAGGGCCAGACAACTAGAGACAACCATTATAGCCCAGAGCCCACTGAAATTATTCAAACCATCCAATGCTAAACGTGCTTAAACTTGTCCTCCCAAAGAAGCCATATACATGGCTAGTGAATACATGAAAAGATATTCAGCATTATCAGCCATCAGGGAAATCAAATCAAAACCGTAATGTAATACTGCCTCACACTGGGATGGCTTTAATCAAAAAGACAGTAACAAGTGTTGGCAAGGATGTAGAGAAATTTGGACACCTCAAAACTGCCAGTGGGAATACAAAATGGTGAGTCTGGAAGTTCCTCAAACAGGTAAATGCAGAATTACCAGATGACTCACCACCTCTACTCCTATATATCCAAGAGAAATGAAAACCTACATCCACGCAAAATCTTTTACATGGATAGCCATAGCAGCATTATTCATAATAGCTTAAAAGTAGGAACAACCCGGATGTCCATCCATTGATGAATGGATAAATAAATGTGGTTTATCTAGATGACGGAATATCATTTGGCAATACAAAGGAACGGGGTATGGACATGTGCTGATGAACCTGAAAAACATGATGCTCAGTGAAGGAAGCCAGTCACATGTGATCCCTTTCATGTGAAATGGCCCGAAGAGGCAAATCTATAGAGACAGAAAGTAGATTAGTGGTTGCTTAGGGCAAGGGGGAATGGGAAGACTGAGGAATGACCACTAAGGGGTACTGAGATTTTTAGGGGTAATGAAAGTGTTCTAAGTTTGATTTACAGCAACGGATGAACAACTCTATGAATATACTAAACCAGTGACTTGTACACTTTAAATGGGTGAATTGCATGGTGTGTGAATTATATCTCAATAAAACTGTTTAAAGGAAGAAGAAGCGGTTCCTCCCAGAAGGATCACTCTGTGGGAGAGAGGAGGAGGGGAGGAGAAGGCTGAACCCTGAGCGTGGGGCTGAGTGTGGTGGTGACAGCAGGAGAATATCGGCAGGGGCCGAGATCAGTCGCGGCCATGTCTCTCGCCTCTGCTCAGCACTGGAGGGTCCCTGGGTGCAGAAACAGAGACTCAGGGAGGGGTCTGGTGAGGTAAGGGCCCGGAGGTGGGGAGGAGGGAGGCTGCTGCTGGCTGTTGGAGTCTGCTGTCTTCAAACAGATGGGTCTCCTGAATGTTAACCTTTGTTTTCATCTTTGGAGGGGAGTGAGCAGGGGCAGGGGGCCCTAATTCTACTGGGCTCCAGCACGTGCCAGGCTGCATCATCGTACCAACCTTCTGAGGGGGCGATTACTTCCCTCCTTTTCCAAGTGAGAAAATGAGACTCAGCGAGACAAAATTACTTGCCAGAATTGGCAGCCAGGGCCCAGTACTTGGGAAACTGAACAAGCAGGCAAAGAAATGGAAATAGAAACTGAGCAAGAATACAAAGAAATACCTCCTCCCTGCCTAAAAAAGGGTTTGAATATTGGTGGTAGTGGGTATAGCTCAGTGGTAGAGTGTGTGCTTAGCATACATAAGGTCCTGGGTTCAATACCTAGTACCTCCATTAAAAAAATAATGATGGCGGAGAGATAATAATTAAAGAAACAGAAGAAGAAATAAGTCCCAGGACCTGCAGAAAGACTTGCTCCTGCAGGCTGAAGGGGCACCGACAGGCATCCATCTAGGTGGTGCCCAGACAAGTTCCTGAGTCCCAAGGACACAAAGAAAATCTCCAAGCATCCGTAGAGAAAAGAGTCAGTTACTTAAAAGGGAAAGGAGACAGACCAGCACCTGACCTAGCAACTACAACACAGAGTGCTGGAAAACGGGCAAATCATCTTGGACCATGAGAAGAAGAAGCCTGCAGCTCTCAAGTCCTTCAGCCAGCCAGTATGCTCCTCACCAGTCAGGGTGAAAGCGAGACATTTACAGATATGCAAGAATTCAGTGTATCTGTAGAAAATAACCCTGCGAGTTCTCTATCGACACCAATTAATCAAAACAGAAACCTCAAGACAGTGGAGATGGAAAGGACTGAAAACAGTAGCAAGTCCAAAGGGGAAAGGGTGGGGACGGATACATTAGGGGTTGGGGATTAACAGACACACATGACTGTATATAAAATAAACAACAAGGACCTACTGTATAGCACAGGGAACTATATTCAGTTTCTGATAATAATATATAATGGAAAAGAATCTGAAAAGAAAAATATATATGTATGTATATATGTGTGTATATGCATGACTGAATCACTTTGCTGTACATCTGAAACTAACATTGTAAATCAACTACACTTCAATGAAAAATTAAAAAAAAAAGAAAACAGTGGTAAGACATGCATCTGATCATATGTGTGGTGAAATGTTGGGTGACGGTGGTGGTGAGCTGGCAGTGGTAATATATGTAATCTAACTAAGATTCTTGAAATAGAAGGGCTATGCTGCAAGGAAATGACGAGTGAGGGTCTGAATCTAAGTCCCAACGTTTCTTGGCAAAACTAAGATGTGGGATTTGGGGAGAATGAGAAGAGGAGTAAAGATTTTTGCAAGCCTCATCTTAGAGAATGAAAGAGGGCAGGAAAGTCCTCAAGGTCTCATCTCATGGGCTGAGGGGAGCAATAGACCAAGTATTGGGGGGGCAGTATTTTTTTGAGAAAGATAATAAATATATGTGCTTATGAGGGTCACAAAGTGAGGTCATCATAAACAGAGATGAAAAGAACAGAATTTCCAAATTAATTAAGGGGAAAGGGATGTGGAATGAATTAAATAAATCCCAGCTAAAACTGGAGGAAGGACACTCCTGTAGGAGGAGCTCTCCTGCCCTCCCAGGCATCCTCAATTATTCCAAGCAGGAAGAGAAGCAAGCCAACCTTTCCTACAAGAAGGTGTTGCCTGTTTTATTATCCAACAATAGAAGAAAACTCCTCCCCTCTTCGCCCCCGCCCTTGTCACAGGCCAGCCAATCAGACTTCAGCAGCCTGCCAATGAGAAACATCCATACTTTGAAGTCCCAGCTTTCTCCAATGTACTCTTTGGTTATTACAGCCCCTCTCAGCTCCCCTCTTTCCCCCATTAAAGCAAGCCCGCCTTCCTTATTCTCTGGATTCCCCCATGGTTTGCCATAGTTAGCATATCCTAAATTGCAATTCCTGAATAAGCTTGCTTTTGCTGGTAAAATAACTGGCTATTATGGTACTAAAGTTGACTGGGGAATATATAGTTAATCAAACTGATAACGACAAGAATGGGAGAAAAAGAGGAAATGACAAAGGAAATACAATTAAATCAGGTTATTCAGAAATGGGATTAACGTTAAATGAGAATGGACTGAATTCTACGGCACAGACTGTCAGACTGGGCAAAAAACAAAACTAGGCTATATCTTTGTAACAGAAAACACTTAAAAGATAAGAAAAGAAAAAGTAGGAAGGGCAATAACAATGTCAGACAAAGTGGAATGAAAGGTATCATCCTGGATTATGAGAGACATTAAATACATAGATGGCAATATTTACAGAGAAGATGTAACAGTCAAAGCATAAACCCCACAGCACTAAACAACAGGACAACCAAAGGCAGAAAGCAAAATCCATCAGAAATACGATAGTCTAGCAGATAGAGTAAGGCAAGAGCATAGAAGATTTAAGTAATATGGTAAAATTAATAGATAATAACTGAGTAAGGCTATGAGTTAATGATTTTGTGAGTAGTGAGTATATTTAAGCAGGAATAAAAAAAATCATTCATACACGAATTAATAAATGCATGAATTAGTTAATGAATGTGAGAATTTTAAAAATTATGAATGAATAAATGGATGAATATTTGATGACACGAATAAACACAAAGAAATCGATGGAGAGAGTAAATAAATAAGAAATATCTTAAAAGTAGATGGAAAGAAGGGAAAAGGGAGGAAGGGAGGGCAATTCCTGTGCGCAGCCAGCTCGCGGAGAGCACAGCCCCTAGAAGGGCTCCGTTAGCTGTCCCCCCAGCCCCAGCTCACCCGGCCAAAAAACTGCAGGAAGGTGTTGGAAAGCAGCAGGTGCTTCTCAGCCAGGAAGCGATAGCGCCGCTTCTCTTCCAGTTCTGCCGCCCGCTGACTCTCAGACACAAAGGCCTGCATCTGCGCGTGCAGCCGGTTCACGCTCTCCTGGGGAAAAAGGGGATGCTGGCTGGAGGCAGGGAGCGGATCCCACATCCCACCCGCAACGAGTGCCCGCTGTCTGAAGCGCCCCTCTCCTTTCTGAACCAGCAACTCCTCCCGAGGCCTCCCCTGAGCACTCAGCCCATCCTTGCGCTGGTCTTCCTTCTCATGTGCATCATGAGCCTGGGCCCTGCATGCCCCCTGGCCCTGCATGCCCCCTGGCTGGGGCACTTCTCCCAGGTAGGGATGGGTCTGAGCCATCCCTCTCTCCCCAGCACCCACCACAGGGCTGAGCACAGAAGTGAGGTCCAGGCAGGTTGGTTTAATGAAAATGCAAATTAATTGATTAATAGCCCCTACTTAGGAGGAGAGAGAGAGAGAGAGAGGGAGACAAAGAGGTGAGCTTATCAAAGAAGCCAGAAGAGGAGACAGGAAAGGAGATAGAGGCCTGGGAGACAGAGGCCAGGGATGGGGCCCTGAGCTCGGGAGGAGGGGCTGGACTGAGCCAGGGTACAGGAGGGAGGGAGAGGGTGGCTGCTGGTAGACCACAACTTTGCTACCATGATCAGGAGCAGCATAACTGATGGCCTCAGGTTTTCTCAGTGAGCTAGAAGAGGAGGGAGGCCAAGGGAACCTGGGGAGGGCCAGGCAGTGACAGGACAAGGAGCCGGGCTGAGGGTGTCCCTGACACCAGTGATGCCCACCCTGCCAGTGGCAGGCTGACCTCTCCAGCTGTGCCCACCACACAAGATGGATAGGGCAAGCCACACTCCTGGAGTTGGGTAGGGGAGCTCAGGACGGTATCAGGGGCCCCCCTCAGAGCCTGGTCTCGTCCCCAGCCCCTGCACCTTCATCTCCCGAGCATTCTTGTCTCTCTTGCGCTCCATACGCCACAGCTCTGACATGTGCTTCTCCAGGTTGGCAGCTCGGTGGCGGTACTCCAGCTCGTAGTGCTGGCGGCTGTCCTTGGATGGAGTGGAGAGAGGAGGGAGACCCCTGTGTCAAAGAGCTCAAGGCACCCAGCCCATGTACTGGAGTGCTGGACGGGGGCAGGCGCTCAGCTAGGAACATGTGTATCCTGCAGCCAGTCAATGCCCAGCACTGGCCTCGGTGTGCCCATCCATCAAATGGGGAGAGATGGTCCTGCCAGTGATGGGCTGTGGGGCCAGGATGGGTGGCCAGACTCACTTTGATGAACTGCATGTCCAGCTTGGTGTTCTTCTCCATGTGCTGCAGCAGGTCTCCATGGAATGTCTGCACCTGTGTGGAGTGCAGGGCAGGGGTGATCAGGGTGGCCCTATCATTCCCAGGCCCCAGTGTTCCTGGCACTGCCCACTCCAATACATTGCCCACTGCATTTGTAACACACCAGGCACCTGCCCAAACATCAGAGAAATGGGTATAATAAGAGCACCTGGTTGGAGGGAAAATTAAGCAGTTAAACATATAAAACATTTAGTGCAAAATCCTCTGTGTAATATGTCAACACCTTCTGGTTCTTAGCCTGTGCCTTGATGATGCCTGGAACTTCATACCAATATTTAAATACCAGCATCCCTGCTCCCTCTGCTGGGAGGACTTCCAGGCGGAAACTCTCAGATTTTGTTTTGGAATGTGTACAATTTTTTGTTCATTGTTCATTCCTCCAGTCACAGGATGGAATTTCTTGCCAGGCCCCTGGATATAGCCCTTTTGTAGGAGCAGCGAGCCACTGTGGGTCTGAACCAAGTCTGCCCCGTCTCTGTGGCCCCAGCACCGTGTGCCAGACCTGGCCCAGCAAAGTGCTCACTAGCTGTTGAGGTCTTCACTGGGATGGCGGGGTCCCGTGACAGGTGAGGAGGAGGTGACTGACCACCTGCGTGACCAGGAGGCCCAGGAAGGCTATTGGGCTCAGGCTCAGAAGAGTTTCCTTCTAGCACACTCTAGAGGTTCTGCCTCCGATTTGCTCTGTAACTTTGGATGAGTTGCTGCCCATCTCTGTGCCTCAGTTTCCTCATCTGTAACAGGAAGGTTTTAGCCAGATGCTTTCTAAGGTCCCGCCCTAGAACTCAGCAAGCTTTGATTCTGTGGGCCCCAGTGGTCAGCTGGCACATTCCCCACGTGTCCCCCAGTGGTGTTCCCTGGGTCACTACATGTTGCTGGGGTGTTGGACCTAAATCCTTGCAGCTACACTCTGCTCCCGGGTTCCAACTGAGCAGAAACAAAGGGGAGCATCTCCAGACCTCTGCCACTTCTGGGGACCCCTCCACCTCTGCTCAGCCTTCTCTGCACACAGCCTTTCCCCTCAGCAGCTCAAGAGCCCTCAGCAGACGGGGAGGGTGTAGCTCAGTGGTAGAGCGCAGGCTTAGCATGCATGAAGTCCTGGGTTCAATCCCCAGGACCTCCGTTAAAATAAATAACTTTTTGAAAACTAAAAAAAAAAGAATTTAAAAAAAGAAGAAGAAGCACCTTCACTGGGTCCTGCCTCCTGCCCCAGAGGTCCCGCTGAGGGCGGCAGGCTCTGACCCTCAGGGGCAGGAATGCGGGTAATCAGGAAAGACTAGCAAATTATGAAAATTCTAAGTTTTTCTTCCACAATTGTTTCTGAAACCACAATTGTTTCTGCTAACTGCTGGTCTGTAAGGGAGCTTGGCTGTGGCCTCCTTGGGACTGGCCAGGCCTTAAAATCCTGCTTGTGGCTGTTGGGATGGGAGGCAGGAATCTGTGTTACCAGCTGCTCTGAGTCCCAGTTTCTGGCCCATGGGGGCCTTTTACTGCTGGATCCCAACAGTAAGGAAGTGAGCCTTCCCCACCTGCACCTGCACGGCCTCCCAGTGGGCGTCTCCTGGGTGCCTCACTGGCCTCACCCTCCTGGTCCTGCTTTCCACTAAAGTGACAGTTCAAGATCTCTACCTGAACACAAGATGTATGTCCCTGAAAATCACCGCATCCTGCAAAATCACCCAATATAAACAACAGGGCTCATAGGAGATGCAGCAACTGTACAACCAGAGCACTAATAGAGAAGGCGAAGGGTACCTGCAGAGATGAACTTGAACCACATCCAAGCCACAGGAAAATACTAAAAATGCACAAGATCAATAGAATGGCCCTACTGGCAACATTAATTACCGCAGAGCCGGTGAGCCTGGACCAGCTGGGATGAGGCTGGGTGGTCATGATGGTGGGCGAGGGAGATGCAGCTCCTGCCCCACAGCTGAGTCCCGGGGTGGGGGTGGGCAGCTGGGAGCCCTCGCTTTCCCCAGGGAGGCCTAAGCGCAGGACGTTTTCAAACGTTCTTAAAAGAGCTGTTGCTGTCAGCGCGGCAGGCAGGCTGGGGGCGGTCCCGTTCTTACTAATTCTGATACCCTGTCCCCCTCCTCTTGCCTAAGAAACATCGCTTAGGATCAAGCCACCTTCCATGTCATAGGATATGTCTCCTGCTTCCAGCCACATATGAACTGAGTGCCACCACGGAAATGCATGTTGGAGCAGGACAGGTGGATTGTAATTCTTCCCATTACCAGGGCTTGGCTGAGCTCACCAACAGCGTAGGGGCACAGACCCAGGATGCCCCAGTCAGATGGGGCCCAGGCACCACCGGTTTAATGGAAAGTCATCGTCAAGCTCCTGAATCTAGTAAGTTGATGCTTGAAGAAAGGGGAGGGTAGAGCTCAGTGGTAGAGCATGTGCTTAGCATGCATGAGGTCCTGGGTTCAATCCCAGTACCTCCATTAAAAAAATAAACTTAATTACCTCCTCACTCGCCCCTCAAAAAGCAAAACAACAAAAAATTGAAAAAAAAAAGTTGATGCTTGAAGAGAACTTTGAACTCGTGCTGTGGGGGAGCCAGAGGACTGTCTATAATTAGCAGGTGGCTTCTGAAACAAGGAAGTCACCAAGCCCAGGGCAGGCTGAGGAATTCCCAGCAAGTCTGAACAGAGGCCGCCTCCCCCTGCTCCCCTCTCCTCGGCACATGCTTCCTCAGTGGATCCTGTAAACCCTTCAGTAGCAGAAGCTGAGAGCAGTCCTATTGTTGAGAACACGCACTGTAAGTTCCACATCTCCAGTTATTCTAGTAACTCATGAAATCCCTTTGCCAAAAGGAAAAGCTCTTTGAAAGAATTGTCTCTGTGGGCTGACCCCAAACACTCTCTTCCCACTCAGGCCCTCCAGTCAGGCTGTTGCCCCACCACGCCAAGAGCGCTGTTGTCAAACTCACCAAGACTCCACCTTGCTGAGTCTCATTCTCAGGACTCATCCAACTTGTCCCCTTTGTCATCACTGGACACAACTGATCGCTCCCACCTCCTGAGATGCCTTCCTCCATCAGCTTCCAGCCCATCTCCTTCTCCTAGTTTTCCTTGCACCCTCCTGGCTTCCTCTTCTCTGTCCTTTGCTGACTCCCCTCATCTCCCTGATCCCCAAAGTTTGGGTTGCCCTGGGATCAGGCCTTGGGCCTCTTCCCTTCTCTACCAACACCACTCCCTTGGTGAGCCCATGCAGTCCACATGCTGACGGCTCCCAGATGCATATCTCAGCACAGACCTTCCCCCCAAATCGTCTCATCCATACAACTATATGGACTCCTTTCAGCCAAGAAGAAGAGACAAAAGAGTGAAGACAGGCTAGGAAGGTCTAAAACACAGATGAGTCCCTGAGGAAGAAATGCAAAGAAAGAACAAACAAACAAAACAAATTCTAAAAACTGTAATTCAAGATAACTTTTCTGAAATTAAAAAAAAAAACAGATTTCAATTACCTATTGAAAGAGTACACCATATAACTAAGACTATTGTCCCAGACTGATCCACATCAAGACATATTCTAGAAAAATTGCTAGACTTAAGAAAAAGAAAAAAATTGGGAGGAGATTGAGGAGAGCAAATGTAAAATACGTTTTAACTGTTTTCAGAAATCATATTGGTGGTGGTAGACGCACTAACATTATTCAGAGGCTGTTGTGGGTATAACATGAGACAAAGCAAACGGGTAACTGTGGGATGTTATCCTTTCATTCTCTCTATCCTTGAGAATCAGGATTCTTGCTGTGGAACAAAAGAGATACTGGTGGAACAGAGAAGAGGTTAAGTAAAAATCTGTGGCTGAATCTGAATTGGAAGTATCAGCATGAACTTAAGAAGCATTCTGTCTTTAACTATATATTTATCATGTATGTATGTGTATATACACATATCATTTGTGCAAATGTATGTGTGTATCTATGTATAAATGTATATATCTAGGCATATAGAGCATATTTATTATATATACCTATGAATGTACATATGTTACTGGCCACTGAAAAAATCTAGGAAGAATGATCAACTCAGTAGCCATGGACACTCCTAGTGCCCAGATTATGGTCTTGAAATACCACTTTCCACTAAAAACAAAAATTAAAAACAGAGTTTCGTGGAGAGATGGCTGATTCCACGTATAGAGTGCAAAAGTGCCAGAAGAGGTCAGGACACTTTGTCAGGCTCGATAACAAGGAAGCTGTCAAAACCATGAGAGTTACGCCAAAAGGACTCACGTGCCGGACTGAAGAGGCTTCTACTGATCAAAGAGGGGACATTTTCAACTTCAGTAAAATGATTGTAAATGAGCGAAACACATCAAATACGTTTAAATCTATGATACTAAAAATATTACAATGATGGTGCTAGTGAAAAATAAAGCTAATTAATTGGTCACCTTCAGAAGATGACGGGGAGCAAATTCATGGTCTTGAAAGCTGACAAAGGAGGGAACAAGCCTTTATCCTGACTTTCCCATTTTGCTGCTGGATTTCAAACACACCTAAGGAGAAGCATCTTCAGATAGAAATAGTCCAGTTAATAAATGAGAGCAGCATCTTGTAGCTCCCACGTGTGAAGGGGTGTGGACACACAGCCTCTATTGCTGTCACTATCACATGGCAGCAGATGTGACGTGCCTCCCGATGGAAGAAGCCGGCACCTCCTCTAGTCTTGCCAAAGGGATGGAACCTGAGTTGATCAAGCCTCTGGGTCCAGAGGACAGAGGAACAAGCTGAGCTGTACCAGGAGTGTTGGGAAAACTAACCAGTCAGAAGGCCCCTGGGTCCTCAACGGATAAGTTGTAAGGAAAGGAAAGGGATGGAGAGGGGACCAGTAGATTAAAAGAGACCCAAAGACATTTAAAAAGAGAGAGAGAGAGCAAGACAAAGTCTAGTGTCTAAGGTCGTACAACTGGGTGATCAATGACAAAGAAACACAAGGCAGTGTTGGACCAGTGGTTACTTTTGGAGGGAGGGAGGGAGGGGCTGGGATTTGATGGGGCCACAGGGGAGGGGGGAGGTTCGGGGGAGGCCAGCAACGTTCTTGACCTGGGTGGGAGTTTCAAAGGTGGTTTGTCTTAATGATTCATTAAGCGCTAATTTGTTCAATGAGATTTTCTGTGCCTATGTTTTCATTTAGAATAATTTTTTTTAAACCAAACTTGAGCCCAATCCTGTCATTCCTGTGCTCAGCACACTCAGAGGCATGGCTGGAGTCCCGACAATGCTCACACAACTGGCCCCAGTTAGTGGCTGATCATCTCCACATTCACCGTTGCTGCCTGGACTCTGGCCATGTGGGCCTCCTCGAGCCTACCCACATGCTGTTCCCTCGGCCCAGAACACTCTTCCCGAAGATGGCTCCCTACTTGTTCCCCCACCTCCTTCAGGCCTCTCCTCAATGTCACCTTTTAATGTTTTATGTTAAATATCTGTTAAAAATTGCATCCCTCCAGGGCTTTCTATCCCCCTTCCCCATTCTGTTTTTCTCCATTGCATGTTTTGCATCTACCTGTCACATATATATTCACTTATTTGTCTTGGGTTTTGTCTGATTCCCCCTTGAGGAGAGCAGGGGGGTCTGTCTGCTGCATCCCCAGTGCTGACAGCAGTACTGCCACATGACAGTACATAGCTGTGGGATGAATGAGCCCAAGGGGGAGGCAGCCTCTGGCGTGTTCTGCCCAGTACAGCTCTGCGCGAGGGCCCTGCCCTCGTGTCACGGCCAAGACACCAGTACCCAGACAGGGCAGCTCTCCTTACAGAGTGGGCCTGGGTGATACTCGTCCCTGTCCAGCCCAGGTGTGGCACAAGTGACATGGCGAGCCACCAAACACAAGGAGAGGAAGTCACAAGCTGCCAGCATGAGCCAAGCTCCATCACCACCCTCCCCGCCCGAGCCCCAGCAGGTGGCGTGGGCTTAGCGCTTTGCCTCAAAGTGTCCGGGACACATGCCCAGGGCCATGGTTTGTCCTATGGTGTGTAGGTGGATGTACATTTCCTGCTGGTGAAATTGTTCCTCATTTCTACATAGTAACCAAACAGAAAAGTATTTTACGATGTCCTCAAAGAACACCCAGACTTCCAGGGGTTTCCCACATTTGAGGACCATGCACTGTCATGATAGTTGCAATTTCCTTCAGAACCTCCCGATGCCCCTCACGCCCGGCCCCGCCCGCCTGCCCCTCTCCGCCCAGCTCCGGGGCCCTGGCTCACTTCTCCCTGATGCCAACCTCGCTGTGAAAGTGCTCAGCCCATGGACCCTCCCAGAACGCCCTCTCGTCTTCTCTCCCTCCGGCCAAATCCCGCTTCCTTTTCAAAGCTTATTCTTTCCTTCCACGGTCAGTGAAGCCCTGCTCAGTGCCAGGTCTCTGTCCCAGGCCCTGGAGCCACAAAGAGAAGACCACAGCTTGCACGGCTCCCTCTTGGTAAGGATAGAGACAGGAGGTAGATTTTACTTCTAATTATCAAAGCTGAGGTACTAGAGGGTCATGGGTGCCAGGGTTAACAGTTTATACTTATTAATCTTCGTTATTCTGGTTATCTCCATTTCACAGACAGATAAACTGAGGCACAGAGAGGTTAAGTAGCTTGTCCAAGGTCACAAAGCCAATAACTAGTGGAGCTGGGCTTTGACCTCAGGTGCTCTGGCTGCAGAGCTCGTTTCCTTCACCATCACTGGCTAAGAACGGATAGAAGCATCTGTTGGAGTCCAGAGGGAAGAGAGACTGAACTTGCCCAGAGGTCAGGGGAGGCTTCCGGGAGGAGGGCGACTCTGCTGGCCGGCAGGAATAGGGGTGGGGGTGCCCTAGGCTGGGAGAACAGCATGACAACAGCCCAGTGGTGGGAACACCAGGCTGTATCAGCAGAGGCCAGCTCTTCAAGTTCGGATCACTGGCTGCTCCCTGGGCGAGTGGAGGGAGGGGCTAGGGAGGCAGGTAGGGGGCAGGCGCCTGGGCCTGATGTACCTGGGTGACAGTCCTTCCTCTTCCCACCTCCTCCACTCACTCTGGAGTCTTGGGCGAGTGACTAGATCCCTAAGTCTCAGTTTCTTGCTGTCAAATGGAGACGGGGAAGGCACCTGCTTCCCAGGTTCCTGGAGCTTGAACAAGATGCGCAGGTAAATATGCGCAGCAGAGCCTGGCCTGGCAGGTGCCCAGAAGGGCAGCCTCTGTTGTCAGGTTGGAAAGCAGCCCACTCTCCCTGGTGACCCCTCTAGGATGTGGGTTCTGAGACTCACCACCACCTCTAGGTCAGAGTTCAAGTGCCGCTGGGTGTCGGACATCTGCACCAAAATCTCACCTGGAGGCATGGAGAGAAGTGGCTTCAGTGGGGGGCCCGCCCTGCTCGCCCTCTTCCCGCCAAAAGCTGCCAGAGGGCCTGCCCGGGGCTGGATTTGGGGACCAAAGTCCAAGGATTTCCTCTATGGCTCTGGGTCTCTGGTGGTACCTGTCCCAGTCCCGGAGAAGTCCTAAGGGGTGTAATGGGAAGAGGCATGGGCTCCAGAATGGGAGTCTGGGCTCTGCGCTCCGGCCTACAAGGCTTGTGTCTTTGGGAAGGACTTCCTGGAAGGACTGGATGTGAAAGGAACCCCCTCTAGGACCTGAGAATGGGAGGCGGTGCAGGCCCTGGGCCTAAGGGGAGGCATCAGGGAGGCAGATAGAGGATTCCGGAGCCTGGACGAGAGGAGGCCTGGGGTGGAGGCAGGGCTAGGAGGAGGTCCCCCAGACCCAAGAAGTTGGGAGAGATGTAGGGGAGGGGGCATGACTCACCCAGAATCTGCGAGGTGGAGCTCTGCAGGGCCTGCTCCCCGATCTTCTGGATGGCATTGAAGTACACTTCAGCTGCCTCGGACAGAGCTGCGCAGAGAGAGGGATGGTTCCAACCCCTGCCCCCCACCTCCATGTGCCCCCATCCTCCTGGAGGCCTCTCCTGCCATCAGGAGAGAGTGTGGAGGGGACAGTGTGGGCTCTGGCACAGGTGTGTGTGAGAGGGAGGGGTGCCCTGGGTGGTGTGTGTGGATGCGTGCCATTGCCAGAGGAGAAAGGGGGTGTAGAAGACAAGTGGACTCTCACTGCGGATGCAGGGCCGAGGGGCAGCTGCACCCAGCACACGGCCTGGCGCTGAGCGGGACCTCGGCATGTGCCTGTCATGGCTGGGGGTGCAGGCTTCTGTGTGCCCATAAGGAGGGCATGGGCGGGTGTGTCGTGAGGCCCAGGTGTAGAGACACGATGTGGGGGTGGGGGTGGGGGTGGTGTGGGCTCAGGTCGCTGGTGTGAGGACTTTGACTCTGAAGTCCTAAAAGGCAGGGAGGGATTGGGTGACACAGCTCAGGGTGTGTCCCTGGCTTGTCCATCCCGCAGAGGACTCATAACCCTTTGCTGATTAGCGCTGATTGGGCAGGTGGGGTGGGGGTTGTTGGGAGATGGGGGGATGGTAGCTGTTTGCACAGGCGCTGAGCGAGTAATGAGGCTTGACTGTAGGTGTGTGACTGTAGGTGTGGGGGGCAGGTCAGGGTGTAGGGGTGGGGTGCAGAGGTGGCCTGGGTATGGCAATGCGCTCACTGGGCAGCATCGGGGTGACATCTGCAGTGTGTGCAGCTGGGGTTTCATGGGCCTGCAGGGCCCAGTGCTGCATCTCTGAGAGCACCCGGGGGTGCAGCTGAAGGTATGTGAGGGGTCTCTGGCCAGAGCGTGAGGGTGAAGGTGGTGGGTGGGAGTGTGTAGGGGCGAGGATGAGTGGAGTGTCTGGTGTGGGGTCCAGAGACTATGGGTAGGGGGGCACCAGGGGGGCTGCATGGGGTTGAGGGGGGCCGGGAACTCACCATGGAAGGCCCGGAGGTAGTTGTTCCCCAGGTACACCAGGTTCTCCAGGGCGGGGTTAAACTGCTCCATGATGCTCTGAAGCCAGAAGGCAAGGGGACAGAAGGGGGAGATTGGGAGAAGAAGAAGGAATGATGGGCAGAGGCAAGTCCCTGGGCCTTAGGAGCAGCCCCAGTGAGACACCTAGAAACCTGGAGTCACCCAGAAGCCTGGCTCTCCGCTGCAAGGGCCTCAGAGGCCCAGATCCAGGCCAGGGCCCCCTTGGCCTGCTCCCGCTCACCACCTGCCCAGGGGGAACTTGCTCCTGGCAGGTTCTCCTCCCACTGGCTGAAGCCTGCGGTCTTTCACAGGGCCTGGCTACATGTGGCTCAACCCAGCCCTGAGTCCAGGTCTCACCAGGCTGGACATGTGGGCTGCAGACAGTCACCTCAGAGGCAAGGACAGATCTTTCCCTCCTCAAAGAAGAGTCCCTTGGGAGCAAGGCTGTGGCTGGGTCCCTTAGGCTGCCCCAGCCCATGGCCAGTGGGAGAGAACCCTGGGTACTCGGGTCTCGATTTAAACTCCAGCAGCCTCACTTCCTCCCTTGGTGACTTTGAACAACTCCTGGCCTCAGTTTTCCCATCTATCAAGTGGGGTGATTATTTTTGGGGGGTGATTATTTTCTACCCCACAGGTAGGGTGTCGTGAGGTTTACATATGAAAGGGCCCTACACACAGGAGGTGCTCAATAAATGTCTATGGAGACTGCCGCAGCCCCTCCGGAGTGAGGTAGGAAGTTTGCATGAGGGGCTCAGAAACCAGAGAGAGACAGAGAAACAGAGACAGGGAGACAGAGAGAAAGAGACAAAGAGACAGAAACTCCCCACTCCCGGGCCAGGTGGCTCCTCAGGCCCCCTGCTCCCAGCTGAGGCCACCTTGGGCCCTGCCCTGCTCTGTCCAGTGTTTGGGAGTTGGGGGCTCCTGTTGAAGTGCTGTCTCAGCAGGCCGGTCTCTCACTGGATGGACCCCTGCTCTGGGAGCCTCAGGTTAGGGCTGGAGTGACTGACGGCCCCAGGGATCCCCACCGCCAAGCCCACAGCTCAGCCCAGCCTGGTTCTGGGCTTTCTTTTCCAGAACATGCTGCAGCCATGCTCACCCTCTGTCCTCCAGAGCCAGCCTGACCTTCGAGCCCTGGAAGAGGGTGCTCGAGCCCAGGCCTTGGCCGCACACACACTCACCTTGTAGATGGCCATGGTGGACCTGTAGAACTGGTCCATTTCGGGGGCCATGGAGTGGGTGCACCCGGGCGCTGAGCAGGAGGCTGGTGGTGACGTCAGGGCTGGGAGCACTGGGGGCTGTACACTCCAGGGCCCGCTGCTCAGTGGGCAGTGAAGGAGGCTGCAGAGTGGGACCTGGAGATGGGAGCGCCGGCCGAGGAGGAGGTGGCAGCTTAATTATTCACCAGCCAGGGATGTCAGAACGCGATATGGGGCGTAACCAGAGCCGGCAGGGAAGGCATCCTGTGACGCGGGTAGGTTCATGTGACCTGCCCTTCAATTATTTACCCCTCTGAGCCGTGGACTGGTGGGCACGCGTGGACGGCCACTCCCCTAGGTCACCTTCTCCTTGAGAACAAGACTTTTCCAGGCCAGGGGGGATCCTTGGCTCTGGGGGACTGCTGCCCTCCCACCTGCCTTACTGGGCAGTGCCCACCCTACTGGGGTTGGAGCTGTGCAGTGCACTCCCCGATACCCCTGGCCCTGACAATCCCCAGCGCCTGCAGGCAGAACACGCCCACTCATCACTATTCTCAGGCCCCTTCTCTACCCTGAGCCCCTCAGACCTGCATCCCAAGGGCTGTGGCTCCCACACCTGCTGCCGCCCATCCAGCTCCCCTGCATGCTGGAGACAGGGCACCACAAATCCTGAGTTGCACACACCCTGGCCTTGCTCACTCGCTGTGTGATGGTGCCTGAGCTCCCTGCCCTCTCTGGTCTCATCCCCTCTGGCAAGTGGGGCTCTCCCTCCCCTCAGCCATGAGGCAGGTGGGCCTGGATGCTGGCTCTGAACACCCTTGGAGGCCTGACTGGGAGAGACCCAAGGAAGACAAGAGGTGTTCCTAACTCGGGGAGCCTGGGAAACAGCTTCTATCTAAGTGGGCACAGGAAGATGACAGTCAAGGCTGAAGGTCAAGGCTGAGGGGAGGTGGCAGGGTTGGGGGACAGGGACACTCACACCACAGCACACACCACACAGGCAAACTGGAATGGAACCGTTTATTTCACAGTCTGGGCAGTCCATGGAGCCCCTCTCCGCTCATAAACCACTTCCTGTCGGGAAGAATAACTTAAGTCACAGGAGCGACCTTTGAGAGCTGAGGAGAGCTCGCAGGGTGGGGTGCGGGTGGCAGGGTGCGTGTTGAGGGGCAAAGTCGAATGGGCCACCCCACTCCTGGAGCCTGGGTTTCCCCTCCTGATGGGGTGGGTGACAGCCCATTTCTCTAGCCCCACCTCCAGCAGAGGGCAGAGGGTAGAAAGGGTTGCTGCACCCCCCAGGGGGCCCGGAAGAGCCCAGGACCCCCTCGGAGGCTGGGGCTGGTAGCACGTCCAGGTGCCCTTAGTGTTTGAGCCAACAGGGCCAAGGGCCCCGGGAGTCAGTCAGGGAGGCAGTCGGGGAACGGGCCCAAGTGGGGCTCCAGGCTCTTTAGGCCTGGAATGACACGGAGGG